TGGTGAAAATGTCGGAATCTTAGCTGACTTTTCCAACATTTTAACTCTGATATAAAAAAATTGAGGTTCTCAGCAACGATACAGAATAAAAATAAAAGGATATATAACTTTTTTCCTAGTCTCAAGACGAGTAAAATGATGTACAATTATCGAATAAATAATGAAGCTAGCGAGACTACATAGGTTTGCCGTATGGTCTAACAGTCCTGTACTAGGGTTCTCTTGTAGGCTAAAACGTTTTTTGAAAGTTTTTCGTAAATTTTGCCTCAGATAACAGATTTAAAATTTTTTTTAATATAGTTATTCCTGTAGCGCTCGTCGAGCTCTATCCAGTCATGTAAAAATATTGCGAAAAAATTTTGAAAATAGATTTTCGTGTATTGTCAATCGAACGTGTGGCGCAGAAATAATGGGGCACTTTTATTTTCTATCTTTGAAGGACTTAACAAGCGTTTTAAAATCTGGTTCTGAGCTCATGCGATAGAGAATTCATTTTTCTACAGAACTGTCGAATGTGTTTTTCAAACTAGTCTTTCTTGTCCGCGCAAAATTTCAAAGATTAACAGTTACTCAATAGTCCAGCTGCGAAGGCCAAAACAACGAAAAAATTGATGAAAATATTTTAAAACGATTCTGCTGAAATTTCAAATGTGTCACGAAATTCTACATCGAATTCTGCATCTTTGGATGTAATTTTCAAAATTTTGGAATAAATATTTGTGAGGAAAACTTTTGAAGTGGAAAATGCCAACAAAACCTATTTCCGCATAGACCTATGACATTGTTCAGTTTTAATTCGAAACAGCCAAAACACATTCACTGTTGAAGTCACAATTTATACCATTTTATTCAGAATAAAAGTTTGCATACGACGGCATGAAAATAGGCATTTCGCATGACAAGTCTGTCTTAGAAAAACATTATTCTCCGAAATGGGTTCAAAAACAGCACCAGATGCTGGTTCGAAGCCTTTTTCTCGTGAACAAGAGCATCAAGAACCTTGAAAAGACCGTGGAAGTATAGGGCACAAAATTCTCTATCTATTGACGTTAAATACTTTAGTTTGAGCATCGGTTTTGATGAGCACATGCTTAAACAAAACGATTGATATCCGGAAAAAATTAGAATTCGCACGATAATTATTATTAATTAGAATTCGCACGAAAGTAAAATTCGAGACGATTTCCACTTCCATTGCCACCTGCAACCACTATTCCTTGAGATTCTCCTCTTCGATATCGTCTCACTCCATCCTTTCCATAGTCAACGACATAGAGAGATCCATTCTCGTCCATTGTCAAACCCACACAATTGATGTTGGAGATGATTGTTTCTCCACTTGTCCCATTTCGACGAGGCCATCGAACCACTCTATTATTCGAACTATCGCAGATGATGAGACTATCTTTCTCTTTGTCGACAATCACATCTAATGGGCTCCAAAGCTCTACATTTATTGTCCTCACGATAAAAAAAAAGTTCATACTTCTGCTTAATTGACCCTACAACCATAAAAATAAAGATGGATAAGCATAAATGTAGAGTTGGACAGTAATAAATGGTGAGATTTAGACCAAAATGTAGAGCAAATCACGATTTTTCAGTATAGGAACCATAGCATGATACCCTAGTATATACCCAAGATATTTGCTAAATCCTCTACATTTATACTTTCCTCTTCATCTATGGTGACATTCTCTACATTTATGGTCTCAAAATCAACACTTATGGTTTTAGGTCTACGTTTGTGCCTCTAATCCAAAGTACGATATTCATATTCAAGAAAATGATATGATAGATCACTTGTTCTAAGTTTTGCAGGTCGAATATTTAACTATTTCTCCATAAATGTAAAATAACGACGAACAGAAAACCAAAACATTGGGAATATCGGTTACCTACTGTATACAGTAGATGCGCCAATAAATGATAGAAGCTACTTCAAGTATATGCGTTACAGCTCTACCCATTTTGCCTCCATCTATATTTTTCAATAGAAGATTTATTTTTAGCTAATAGTAGCTTCAGCATTTCAGTAACTTACTCGGCGGCAAAATGTGGTAAGCTATGCTAATACTAGGAGAGCAGGAGGAGGAAAAGAAAGGGGAAACTAATTAGTATGCTGAATCCACGAGTTGCATGGCACACTCATCAGGACTTAAATGCCACAACTTAGCAAAAACAGAAACTCTTATTCATACCAAACGCCTCAGTTTTTATCACAGTGCATCTAGGAATAGCAGGATGAGCTTTCAAGAAAAGCATTTTTCGAAAATCCCAATACCTGTCATTGTCACAGAGTATCCTAGTTCACGGTATTCAGACTCTAACCTTTTAGAAGCATACAGACTGATACTCCATAAGCACTGAAAAGGCAATCCTGCTGAGGAGCCGAGACCTCCGTCTACGGCAGCGACACCGTCGTAATCTTCCGCAATGTGCGTCGCTTGGTGTGTTCCCCCTTTCGTGGCACCCACAACTGGTGCAATGTTCGGTGTGTTTATTGTTGCGTACCTTCATTAAGAAGATGCTTTAATAGCCACGGAACCATAAACGTTGACTTTGGGAGTCATAAATGGTGAGGGTTTAAGAATATCAAAACTTGAAGTTTTTATTAAAATTTTAAAAATAGGGCAGACAACCCGAAAAAAACTTCAAAATCTTTTTTATGGAAAACCACAAACGCGGGGACTGAAAGCTTTGTTGAGACCTATACTCCGAAGTGTCCTCTACAAACCGGTGAAAAAAAACGGGTGGGGATCCCTGCTCCTGTAGTCGATGGTCGTCAGCATTAGTGTACTCATAGTCTCAATAAACTGATGTCACCATATTCGCTGTCACAGTAGACTCATTGTTGATGAATCATTGTAAGCGTGTCAATATTTTCATTGAAATCGGACATCCCGAGAAACATTCAATCTGAACAAGGAATTAGAAGGAATTCGTTATTATCTTTGCGACTTAATTGGATAACTGGAGAAAGCCGATCATCTGACAAACGCATCTTTTTTATTTGTTGACAACCGACAAAACGATTGTTGAAGTATATCTTTTCTTTTATTATCACTAAGTTTCACTCTAAAATAAGAAGCTGCTCTAGAGAGCTTAATTATTTTCAATAAGATGTTTTTTCTGCTGCAAAATCTGGAGAGGTTCTTATACACAGCCAATGAGATTAAGAAACTTTAGTGAGGTTTCATGTATATGTAACATAGTCTAAAGGTATAGTAAAGGTCAAGTCTCAGAGGACTCAGTTGGCACTTTTATCAGTGTAGTTCAAGCAAGTTCCGCTAGGGTCATGTTTATAAAAAGCGAGTTCAGCCTAAGAAAATGGTGCCAGATAGAACTATAAAAAAAAGGCGGCAAATTTTTTATTTCATTATTTTGAAGTTTCGATATCACCATCAGAAAGAGCATCAAAAACTGACTTTATGGGTAAAGTCTGTGCCACGTCCCTAATAAACAGTAAATCGAAGTTTTTGAAAAATCCAGACATACTCAAAAAAAACTTTCGATAGAGTTCCTGTAACGTCAGGGGTCGTCCACATAATGGACTGTTTAGTGTTTAAAAATTCTGTCTCAATTCGCAGATTTTTAAAACTGAAAAACTATTAAAATTTTACAACCTTTTTCCGTCACGTCTCTAATGCTATCATTTTAGTAATAACTTCTGAATCAGGGTCTACAGGTTGATTTTTTCAGTGTAGTTAGAGTATATCAGCATCTATGCATGATATAAAAATCAGCTCTAGGGAAGTTTAGTACCCAGACATATAACGCATTATGATTTTGCGAATTCATGTCCTTAACGAATGAAATGGCCCATATATTGTGGAATCCTAATGTGCAGAGAGAATTAAGTGCTCTCTACGACCTTCCGTTGAGAAGATAGGAATTTTATAAAATTTGCTAGTTTACGCTGGAAAATTATTATTTTCGAAACTCTTTTCTTTCCATTTGAAGTGATTGTCGACAAAGAGAGAGATAGTCTCATCATCTGCGATAGTTCGAATAATAGAGTGGTTCGATGGCCTCGTCGAAATGGGACAAGTGGAGAAACAATCATCTCCAACATCAATTGTCGCGGTTTGACAATGGACGAGAATGGATCTCTCTATGTCGTTGACTATGGAAAGGATGGAGTGAGACGATATCGAAGAGGAGAATCTCAAGGAATAGTGGTTGCAGGTGGCAATGGAAGTGAAACTCGTCTCGATCAAGTCTATGACCCACAATACGTATTCGTCGATCGAGATCATTCAGTATACGTGTCTGATTGGGGAAATGATCGTGTGATGAAATGGGTGGAATGTTTTTTATGTGAAAGGTTCAGTCGAATAAACGTATGGATTTCAATGATGATGAATGAGTGTATAATTTAGTTTCTCAAAATAATGGAAATGAAACTGTTTTGATCCACAAGAGAACAGAAATGCAACTTTTACTACGTAGATGCCGACGTAGAACCATTTTCAAACCGTTGATTTCTTACGGATTGCATACATGAACTGGGTTCTTTTTCGCTCTGTTTGTTCAAAATATATCAGATCATAGAAGCGAGTGGAGAAACAATCATCTCCAACATCAATTGTGTGGGTTTGACAATGGACGAGAATGGATCTCTCTATGTCGTTGACAATCGAAAACATAAAGTGAGACGATATCGAAGAGGAGAATCTCAAGGAATAGTGGTTGCAGGTGGCAATGGAAGTGAAAATCGTCTCGAATTTTACTTTCGTGCGAATTCTAATTAATAGGCAATGATGTCGGACATTTGAATTGTAAATCAAGAATATCCTAATACAGTTATTGTTCAACGATCTGGAATTGACCATTGTCTAACATAAATATTGCATTGTCAACGAAAATATTCTCCTTTGTTACTCTGTTTGAAAATCGATTCTGAACATAACTCTCTATTTCATCATAATTTTTTCGAGAGAAGAATGTGAGTGACGTTGGGACAGTATCGTTTTTGCAGGAATCTTTTGAATTTGAGCTCGAGCACAAGAATGTGTAAGGTCCAATTTGAGAGCAAAAGAAGGAATAATGGATAGTTGATCGAAAACATTCGATCAATTACCCCGAATTGAAAAAGATATTTGCAATTAAATAATCTTGATCTGCAAAGTTTGGAATTTTACTAAAAAGGCTTTATCGACTTTTACTGAATTCCAGCTGCATGAAGAGAAAAGTATTTCCCCTTCCACTGCCTCTTATTTTATTACTTTTTATCTCTATCTTAGACAGCTCATTACCTTCTCCGTCCAACATCAACAATCATCCAAATGCTCGATGCCAACAGAATGGTCTCACTGTGGCTGGAGGAAATGGATATGACAGAGCTAGCTAACCACGCTGACCAACAACTTGTTCAGTTTCTCGTGGAGGGCTTCATGTAGGCTTTGATATTGGTTTATCTGAACTGCTTTCAACGTCTTTCCAGTGTAAAAATAATCGTTCAGCTCGTGATGCACCAAATGTCGTTGAAGATTTGATAAAGAAGGACTTGAAGCAGAATTATATGATTGACCCGCTTGTTAAGCCACCGTTTGATATCTATCGTATATCACCGATGGGCGTGGCTTACGGTAAGTATAACCGTAAGCCGCGTCTAATCGTAGACCTTAGTGCACCATATAACTATCCATCACATGCGAGTATTAATTCATTGATTGATAAAGAGGAATTTTCACTGTCATACGTTAGGTTAGATCATGCATTGCAAGTTGTGAATAGTCTCGGGGTTAATACATCGATGGTTAAAACTGATATAGTTGATGCATTCAAAATCATACCTG